CCTTGTACCGGCAAATGGTAATATCTAACCGAGCACATATCATGCACGTAATTGTTTCCATTCCAGTTTTCCCTTAAAGGTACTACAATTATTTTATCTTGTAAGTAGGAGGCAATAAATTGGTAAGAATGATACACAAGGGACCAAATTGACCAAAATCTCAAGAGAATGGATCTTTTTTTTTTTTTAGAATGGATCTTTTTTGACTCTCTTCAAGTGTACATTGTATATTACCTTGCAATAGAAGCAAACTCACTAGGGTTCCAGTTGTATCACAACCCTTCTATTGGTGTAATTTTGGAATTCTATCTTGGGTTAAAATTTAGTTGAGTGATTGCAACAGAATGAAGAGGAAAAAGGGAAAAGAAAAAGAAATGAAAAGGAAAATAAAATAAAAAGTTTTTCTACAAATTTTACAGTAAATTATAAAGTTTTATATAAATATCCAAAAAATACATCATCCAAATGGACTCTAGGATACATTGAAAGGTCAATAATTAGGGATTTGAGAAAATTGAAAAGATAAGAGACAAAAAAGATCATTTTCCCTTTAGTTAAAATAATAGAATCTTTTTTTACTCGCTTTTGTTGTACAGTGTATATTACCTTACAATTCAAGCAAACTCAATAGGGTTTCAATTCTATCAAAGCCCTTCTATTGGTCTACATTTGAAATTCTATCTTGGGTTAAAAATAGTTTGAAATATTGCAACAGCTTTTGGAAATACATGGCTTTCTAAGCCCTTATAAATATTGACTTTTGACATAGAGGAAAGCAGACATCAATTTATATCAATCCGGAATTTAATGTTTCCATTTGGGGATTGTTATGAGACATGCAATTGAGTACTCATTTTCAAATTAGTTTTCGGACATTTTTTGATTCTATGAATTTCTAAACTTATGTTGAAGTACATCTGATAGACTTCCAACTATAGGCAATAGTTTTAAGAATCAGCAATGCTCCAACAAAAATGTTTGTTCTCAATCATTAATTTGCTTCTTTGACCACCTCCTTAAGTTATTAGTCTTGGATGTATATTATACATTTCATCCCCGAATTAGGATAAAGACCATATGATAAAATTTTACCTTCACGAATTCGTCTTTGTTCAATCTAGTAAATTATCAATTTAGATTATCTTCACTGGATCATGATTAATCTCCATCTCTGCCTTCAGCCTCTCTGTACCCTCCACATCCTTTTCATTTTGTAGTTATTTTATTTGAAAACCAAACACAAATTAAATATTTGATGCTTTTAGCAAATTTTTTATCAGGCCTTTAAGTATGCTATCTCATTTTGGTTTCTTAATCAATTAATATGCAACTTCTTTTGTTGTTACTTCTCAATCTCAACTACCATAGTTGTTGATCTCAAAAGAAATTTTTATACGATTCCTTCAAACGTGATCTTAGTTTTTTTGTTAACTAATTTGAAGACATTGAGGTCCAATTTTTTTTTTTTTTTTTTTTTTTTTATACATGTTAGTTTGGTGGTCGTAAAAGTTCATGTGAAATCTAAAAAATGCTGCAGAAAGTTACTCTTTCGTGTGCATTTAAGTTTTTTTATCCTGCTCAATTTTTCAAAACTGACAGATTCTATCTTCTTTTTGGCCATATAATTTTTCTTTAAGAGAAAATACAGTGAACAAGTGAAAGGCTACGTAAATTTCGTGTGCATTGGATGATTTTATTTTATTTTTTAGGCTGGCAAGCTAGGTATTATTGAGTAATTTTCATAATGAATTTTTTCCCTGCTGTATGTTAACCCAAATTTCTCATTGTAGCTTGTACAAAAATTGTTCAAAATTTCTTGGCAAAGGCTTCGTTTTCTAGGTGCATAACGTGTGCAAACATTGATTCTGTACAGCGTGTGGTGGGGAAAAATTCCAAGATTTAGGGTTAACTATGAACGTGCCTTGAGATGGGACCTTTCTTTGGAACTTCTCTGAGTGCAAACTCTTCTAATCCGGCCAAAAAAAAGACTTAATGTACTTCATCTGGAGCAATATTGGAATTTTTGTATACTTTGAATCACCAAATCGTACACAACAATCCACATGTGATTACGAGGAAAATTTATACGAAAAGGAGAAAACTAAGAAAAAGCATGCTTAGAATTAGAAGTAGTCCCCAAATAAATGTTGTCCATTTAGCCTTGTCCTTTTTCTTTGAGAAAAAAAAGTCCGATTAGTAGTCTAAGTGCAAGAGAAAATGGTTTTTTTTGTCTTTTTTCCATTTCTAGGATGCAGCATAATTACTCGTTCAAAAGAGAGTTAAGAGAATTTGATCAGTGTTAAAGCTTAAATTAGAAAAGAAAAAATTGAATCAATTTGGATTGTATTGGATTGATTTCAAGTTTCTAAATCAAGCTGGATTTTGATAAACTTATACAAAAGTCTGGTTTACTGTGAATAAAGGGATTGGACAAATCTTAGTAGGAGCAAATTGAGAAGGCTATAGAGAAGTTACAACATTTGAAGATGTATTAATTGTTGATTATGTTTTATTCATTATTTTTAGAGTTGGAGCCAACTGGCCGGTTTGATCGATTCAACTGCGAACCGGCCATGACTTTGATTCCGTTATGCACTAAAGCTGGGAAGTAACATAAAATCGTCAAGAATGGTCAAACCTTATGAACTGAAAAAAATTGGATGAACCATAAACCAACGATATTTGAGTTTTCTATATAATCCTTAATAAAAATAAATTAAACCATACCATACTGAATGAAGCCCTAATGCTCCCCAACTCCAGTGAAACTGAGGTTGTCCTCTCTTTCTTACTCCCTTCTCTTCCTTTGGCTTCAAGACCTTGATAGAGTCTTTCCTATCCTTCCAGCCCTAAATCTAGGGCTCTAGAGCCCTACAAGTCCTCAAATTGCACTCTAATCTTGAATTGATAGAGTCTTTCCTATCCTTACAGCAGAAATTTACTCTTTTGTGTGCATTTAAGTTTTTATATTTTGTTCAATTTTTCAAAATTAACAAATTCTATCATCTTTTTGGCCATATAATTTTCTTTAATAGAAAATATAGTGAACAAGTGAAAGGAAAGGAAAGCAAAAAAGAGACAAAAGAAAAATGAAGTAAGTTAATGCTAGTAATTATTTCTTACCTGGCTTTCCATTTCCTTTTTGTTTTTTTTTTCGGCTGGCAAGCTAGCTATCACTGCGTAATTTTCATCATGGATATTTTTCCTGCTGTTTGTTAACCCAAATTTCTCATTGTTGCATATATAAAAATTGTTCCATGTTTCTTGGCAAAGGCTTCGCTTGCTAGGTGCATAATGTGTGCAACGATTGATTCTGTACAAAATCTATAGAACTAAACTGTGATACACACACACACATACAGGGGATTCCGCTGAGTGCAAACTCTTCTGATCCGTCCAAAAAAAAAAATAAAGACTTAGTGTACTTCATCTGGAGCTTTTATACGTATCGTTCGTGAACGGTTGGGGTGATAGCGGTTCCTATGCTTAGAAAGCTTCAGTTTTAAGGTCTTCTCTGGTCTTTTTTTATTTGTTTATTTTTGTTTCTCTCAAGAATTATCTGAATGCTGATTTTGTAAAATAAGTGGTTGTGTTGTCTATTGGTAATTGATATTTGTTTTGTTAGATCCCCAGAGTTGCCTTGGACATAAAAGCATTTTTATTTTTACTTAAAGTTTCACGTTACCATAGATACTTATTCCAAAGGATAATCAAAATTCTTAGAGACTGAAGTTATCATAGAATGATTGTTTTCCATTATTCATTGGTTTAAGCTATTTCATATTACCGAACCTGATATACTTCTTTCGGGTGGAGATTCTTGTTTGAATTTTGTCACTAAAAGAATGAGCAAAAATAACTTGGGTGTGTGTTAATTAGTTGGGTACACGTTATGGTACTAAATTGTTATGTTTGTTATATTACCTTGAGTGAACGTGCGTTGCACGTCATATGTCTCGTTTCTTGTAATTCTTCCTTGTGTTTTTATAGAAATTGATATAGTAAATAAGAAAAAAGGTCTATAGCTTTCATATATTTCTTGGAGTTTAACTTTCATATAAAAGGATCTTTTTATTTTTTTGGACTTCCTTTCAATTTTTGTTTTTGAAGTTACTTTGTGATAAATTTTCTCGGTTCAAAGCATTATTATTGAGTCTGAACATGAGTAATGCCTTGAATAAAAACTATTGCTCCGCTTGGCACCTGTATTTTTGGCCTGTTTGTGTTGGATTTTTTTTTTTCCAGTTGTAGCCACAGAAACTTGTTAAAACCTTTGAACTTGAAAAAAAAAATACAGATCCCAAATTACCCAAAAAATACACACTCGTTTCCCTCTTCTACCACCACCACCCTCCTTAACCATTTTCACTTTCGCCACCATCGCTCCTATCTCATCCCACCATTGCCGTTGCCACCACCTTCCCCTCTCTCTCCCTCCACTTGTGCCACCCCTCTTTACCACCACCACCTCTATCACCTACCACAGCTAACTTCCATTCACTACAAGAAAATTGCGTTTCTGTGACAGGCGAAAGTCGTCACTAAAAATTCAGAAGTTGTCACAAAAAAAGCTTGTGACGACTTTTACTACTGTCACAGAGCTGTCACTAGTTCTATGTCACAAAAGGGGGTCCATGTGACGACTATTGTAAGTCGTCACAAACGATTTCGCTTTTGTGATGACTCTTGTCGTCACTCATTGTTGTACATTGTGTGACGACTTTTATTGTCACTAAACTGGCTAAATTCTTGTCATAGTCAACCCTTGGAGTTGTCACATTATGCTTCCGTTCAGTGACGACTTTTATTGTCATTGTTTTCCATCCATAAAAAGTGACGACTTTCTAGTGTCACTAGTAAAACTTGTTGGCAGTGACAACTTTTTTATTGTCATTTATTTTTTTGTAAAAAGCAATAAGCTAATGTTAATTACGCAACATAGCTACCAACAATCACAAAACGTTCATTGAGTAGCAAGGAGAAAAAAAAGCCAACCTACGAAAAGAAAACCAACATTCATTTCCAATAGAAGATCAACCGAAATACATATATATATAAATGTTGCCTCAAATGAGTCATAAACCATGCACCATCCAAAATAAGCCATTCAGTTACAATACTAGTGATTTCCCATCCACAATAGAGAGTAGTAAAGTTCTATACAAAAATATGAGCACGATTCCCATCTAGAACAAAACATGAGCACGATAGGCCTTGTAGTCTTCAATTCAAAAACCATCTTCACAGCAATGACTGGCTTCTTCTTCTTGGGAATCGTGTTAGAACCTACACGTTACCAAAATTGAAGCAATGAGCACTGGTGTTAAAACTGGAACTATACTTCTAGATAGGCACCATATTATAAAAACTAATGTACACTGTTCAAATGACACTAACCAAAGAAAAGGTCATCGCCATCTAAAATGCCTTGACAGTACGTTATGGCTAGATTAGTGTTATACCATCAATTCTGGTTTGACATCCTTGAATAGGCTTGACGAGTAAGAAGGAAGACAAAATATAACAGTTCAGGAAAGAGACTACGAGATGACAACATCAGAGGGCTGACCGATGAAATTAAACTAATACAAACAACAAGAAGTTTGGACTTCCGAGTTCATAAGCCTTGTCCTTCCTATTGCTAATCTTCATCCAAGTTTTATCCATGTCCTAGATATACACACATCAGCCTTTAGTACAAAATACTTTTCTAATATCAAACTAAAGAGAATAATTTGTTAACTAGCCTTTTCAAAAATTAAGGCTACAAGTCATATGAAAAGCAGCCATAAAAGTAATATGAAAATTCATATGAAAAGCCATGAAATCAGTATCATATATCAAGAAAAGTAATATGTATAGCAGCCACGAAATGAACATGAAATTAACCATGAAAAGCTCGGATTGAATTGAAGCCTGTGGCATTTGTCAGATTACAAATTTCTCAGATAGCAGACGTGGCATATGAAATTGAGGGAGCTACAAATCAACGTATATAGCTTTAGTATACGAGCTAATGCTAGAGTCATGTAGAAAGCTGAAAGAAAAACCCCAAGAGAGCAAGGTCAGCTTCATTCAGAACAAATTTAGCTTGATGATCTAATAGCCTAACAGAATGTATCTGCGACAACAAAGACACTCAGAAGCCACATGCGTGCACTTGCTCATAAACACAAGGCATGAAATTTATCTTGCTATATTAACTAACCAATTGCTTTACCTTTCCTCTCTTTTTTTTTCCTTTTTCCGACAATGAAACCCACACTTCAACTCGGATTCCGGGGGGGGGGGAATAGGGATCGATGCATGTTTTCCGCAGACCTCACTTTTTTGCATTAAATGAGAAGTGTCACTTTTGTTTCTTGGGGTTTTACTTATTCAAAGACCAGAAATAAAGGCAGACATACACATTTTATTGCCTGCCCCTTTCTGCTGAAACAGCAGGGCCAATTAATGGGGTAGGAACCGAAAACGAAAAGGAGAACTTAGATCCCAATATGTTAATGCCAGGGAGTCCGGGAATCGACATTGTTGACTTGCACATTTCTTTAGGCAAATGCTAAACAGTAAACACACAGAAGCCACAAACTCTTACCAGTCCACTTCTCCAAAGTCCAAACCATTCCTTGCATCCACATTGCACTGGCTTTTAACAAAAAGACTTGGAAGAGGTGAAAGAAAAACATAAAAACTTTCGTGACTTCATCATATGCATTTATGCTTGTGCACCTCCATTCATTGTATTCTAACTACCCAAAATAAATGAAGTAACTAAACACAAGCATTTTTTGTCACTAGTATTGATTCGCATTCTACAGGTGGGACAAAGATTAAGGTGATAGAAACATAAAGACCAAAAGATAAAACATAAATGAGAAAAATAAGAAAGTACTAGAAACTTTAGAGTTGAGATTATGCTGTAACATTTTTTTTATGTGATATATGATAGATAAAAAGATAATTAAAAAAATAAAAAAATAATTAAGAAGAATACATGTGATGAAACGTAAAATTTAAATTTTAAAAAAAAAAAAAAAAACAGGACCTATCCAAACATAGTCAATTGTTGAGCATTTCAACGAACAACTTCACATGATACCATACTACTATTAGTAAATAGGACTTGTATTTTTTTCCCCCTCTCGTAACATCAATTCGGACTCAAACATAGGGCAGCATAAAAACAGAAAAAGTGCAAAAACCAGCACGTCAGAGCCTCTCAAGACTCTGTTTTCTACCATGAAAAATTAGCTATCATGTTCGGACAAACACTGAACTAGCCGAATGTTCCTTTTTCTCACACGCAAAACGCAAGCAAAATCATCTTCAAGTAGAACTCTCAACTGGGCATTTCATCGAACAGGTCAGGGGTATAAAGAATTTCGCCAATCCTTTGCTCAATTTGAAGTTAATCAGCCCCAAAATTTACAGCATCCCAATCAAATTTCTCACACAACAGAAATTATAGCCCCACATGAATACATAGACGTCAGAAAAGGATAAAAGTTTTACTAAAAAGAAGAAAGGAAGAGAAAATCAGGTCAATACCTCTCATTTTCACCCATCCGCTAACAAAATTAAAGAGAGGAATGGAGAAAGGGAACCTTACCAAGCTTTTGCGGTGAGGACTTGCAGGTGGTGGTGGTGGATTCTGGTGGCAGCAGCGGCAACAGCAACTCCTTGCTGATTCCTTCGATTCTTGGTTTTTCTTTGCTCTGTTTTCTTGTCGAAGCTCTTCCCTTTTTCCACCCCTCTTTTTTCAATTTTTCTTCCGTCTACTCTCTGGCTCTCTCTCTCTCTTTTTGCTCTGTTTTCTTTTTCCTTTCTCCAAACCTCCTCCCTTTTTCCGTTCAGCCGAAGACCTCCTCTCCTTTTTTTCTTTCATCCAACCAAATTAATGCAGTCAAAATATGTTCGCATTTCATAGCTCCTCAAAGAAAGCCGGTTCTGACCATCCCTAACACTGTTAATACTCCAGATCGCAAGTGTTTCGGATGCGATTTGGCCAAGAGTATTATCTTCCCCACTGCTAATTAACAATCTAATTCATAAATTAGTCTTTACAATAGAAGGCTGAGCAGCTTTTGAAAGCAAAAAAAAAAAAAAAAACACATACCGCACAATTAGCTGAAAAGGGGGTCGGAGAAAAGTCTAAACTAAAGTCGCGGAACGAGGAGGGAGCTTGGAAGTGTTCTGACTTCGCTTCTTCGGCGAGCTTGACCTGAAGATTGGCACTCGTCAATGGTGCTTTAGAGGAGCATTTTGCGGAAGCAGACGGTGTTAGAGGTCCAGAGTTTTTCGGTGTTCACCATAGGAAGGAAAGATTGAGAATGAAATTTGTCTAAGTGTTGGAAGAGAGAAGCGGCGAGACTTTTGTTTGTCTGTGAACAACCAAAAACGACGTCTTTTTGTAGAGATTTCAGCCACAAGCTTCGCGCCTCTTTCAGATTTCAGACTGGCGCTCTTTTTTTTTGGCATCTAAACACGTCTTTGAGATTCCAGGATTCACGCCTTTAGCTTCATACATCTTTTTTCTTTTTTTTTTCCCTGGTAAAATTTTTTTTTTCAGGTTTCTTTTTTCATACTTAATCTCTTTTTTTTTTCTTAATCTCATCTATAAATATCAAATAAATTATTTGATATTGGTTTCTTTTTTGTGCATGTATATATATGTGTGCTTGTTTGTGTCTATATACATCTTTTTGGGTTTGGACAACTCAATATACAAATTATTTATGAAATTACCTTACAATAAAACTTACACAATAAAATATGTTTCAAAAATTTAACATGCATAGAATTGCTTATATACAGTATAGCACTTCTTACTCATGCTTATCATACTCTTTGTCTATTACTTAGTTTTTATAATAAATTAAAAGAAACATGTAATCAAATATTCTGTTAAATGTGTTACAACTCTCAATCTTATTGCACGACAGATATTTTACTGAATAATTTTAATTTCGTATATACCCATTCCATATGAAAATAATTATTACTTATGATGTATTACACGTTATACTAATCTTTCACAATGCTAACATTAGACTACAAATTATATTCAATTACACTTTTTCAAATTATTTCAGTTATTGATTTTTGGGGGTTGTTATAAGTAATAATAAACAATTCATGAAAAAAATTTTATGCTCAGACATGTCTATTATGTCAACTTAGCAAAAATTACAAATATCTAAAACTAGTTTGTTATTATATCATTTGCATTTTGCTAATACGTAATGAATAGGGGCTAAATTATAAAATTAGGGTGTCATATCTTCTGTGCTTTTGCTCATATAAAAGAATTGGGGGCTAAATAATAAAATTAGGGTGCCATAGTAGAATTAGTGAAATTTGATGAAAATACTATAGAATTGCTTATATACATTATAGCACTTCTTACTCATGCTATCCTACTCTTTGTCTCTTACTTAGTTTTTATAATAAATTAAAAGAAACATGTAATCAAATATTCTGTTAAATGTGTTACAACTCTCAATCTTATTGCACGACAGATATTTTACTGAATAATTTTAATTTCGTATATACCCATTCCATATGAAAATAATTATTACTTATGATGTATTACACGTTATACTAATCTTTCACAGTGCTAACATTAGACTACAAATTATATTCAATTACACTTTTCCAAATTATTTCAGTTATTGATTTTTGGGGGTTGTTATAAGTAATAATAAACAATTCATGAAAAAATTTTTATGCTCAGACATGTCTATTATGTCAACTTAGCAAAAATTACAAATATCTAAAAATAGTTTGTTATTATATCATTTGCATTTTGTTAATACATAATGAATAGGGGCTAAATTATAAAATTAGGGTGTCATATCTTCGGTGATTTTGCTAATATAAAAGAATTGGGGGCTAAAAAATAAAATTAGGGTGTCATAGTAGAATTAGTGAAAGTTGATGAAAATACTGTAGTATACAGTGATGCAAAACGTTGTCACAAAATTGGAACCAGGTAGACTTTCAATGACAACAAGTTATGTTGTCACTGTAGAGAGAGCGTTTGTGACGACTTTACTTGAGTTGTCATAAAATCATTTCCCGCGGCATCAAATGAGATGCGCGCCAACTATTTCGTGACGAGTTGAGAATGACAACTTCCAATGTTGTCACTGATTATGCTTGTGCTGTACTCATCTGTGATGACACCTAATGTCGTCACTGAATTAGGTTATCTGTGACAAGATTTTTGTTGTCACATAAATTTTTGTCACTGAAAAACATATTTCTTGTAGTGATTTCCCTCTTCTTCCCTCCATTCCTATTCCCTCTCTTACCCCTCCCACGCCCCATCCCCGCCACCCTTGCCCCATCCCCTTTTCCCTTTCCCTCCTCCTCCTCTCTCTCCCCTAACAACCAATCTAGTCACAAGAGTCTAGATCTGATCATCGGGAGAGAGAGGCGAGGAAATGGTGAGCGGGAGTTGGGCCGGAGGGGGAGAGGAAGAAAGAGATGAGGGGGAGAGTGGCGGGTGGTAGTGGGGAAGAGACCATTGTTTTTGCTGCTTTCACCACCTTTTATTCATTTTCTACAAAAACTAATAATGGAAACAGAATTGATGCAAAAAAATCAAGTGGAGGATATGATTTTGGTGAATTTTATAGAAAGTGATAAAGTAAATGACAAAAAAGTCTATATCTTTCATATATTTCTTGGAGTTTAACTTTCATATAAAAAGATCTTTTTATTTTTTTGGACTTCCTTTCAATTTTTTTTTAAGTTAGTTTTTGATAAATTTTCTTGGTTCAAAGCATTATTATTGAGTCTGAACATCAGTAATACCTTGAATAAAAACTATTGCAGTACCCGTTTTTTTTTTTTGGCCTGTTTGTGTTAGACAATTTTTTTTTTCAATTTTAGCCACAGAAACATGTTAAAACATCCGAACTTTAAAAAAAAATCTAGATCCCAAAATACCCAAAAAATTACACACTCATTTCCCTCTTCTACCACCACCCTCCTTAACCATTTTCAATTCCACTGCCACCGCTCCTACCTCATCCCACCGTTGCCGCTACCACCACCTTCCCCTCTCTCTCTCTCCTCCTATGTCAACCCTCTTTCCCACTACGGCCCCTATCACCTACCACTGCTAACCTCCATTTCTCTCTCCTTCCCTCCATCCTTATTCCCTCTCTTGTCCCTCTTCCGCCATCCCTTGCCCCTTCCTTGCCACCACCACCACCCTCACCTCTCTCCCTCTTCCCCTCTCCCTCCTTCTCCTCTCTCTCCCCTAGCAACCAATCTAGCCACAGGAGACCGGATCTGATCATCTGGAGAGAGAGGTGAGGGAAAGGGTGAGCGGGAGTTGGGCCAGAGGGGGAGAGGAAGAAAGAGATGAGGGGGAGAATGAAGGGTGGTAGTGGGGAAGAGACCACTATTTTTGCCATTTTCACCACCTTTTATTCATTTTCTACAAAAACTAATAATAGAAACAAAATTGATGCAAAAAATCAAGTGGAGGATATAATTTTGGTGAATTTTGATGAATAGAGAAGGTGGCAGCCGGTTACGGCTGACGACAACACCGTTGCTAGAATCTACCATTGCTGTCATTCCTAATCTTGTTTTTAATGCACCAAGCATAATTTCCAATAACGTTTAAGCAAAACTAAGGCTGCCAACGAACCGAACTGCTTGCCAGCCGCTCGAGTCAAAGCTTGACTCGAGTTCGATCAACAATGAACTCGAGTCGAGCTCGAGCTGGCAAAATCGAATTCGAGCTCGAACTCGAGTTTAAAATATTAAGCTCATTAACTCGCGAGCCGGCTCGTGAGCTCTAGTATATATTATTTTTTTTATTTTTTTATTTTAATAGTAAAATTACACATATTTTCTTAATATTTTATTATTTATTAAGAAAAAATAATTATTTGTTGTTATTATTTGAATAATTTCTAGAAACTCGAGCTAATGAGCTGCTCACGAGTCAAAAATTCGAATTATATTACGAGTTGACAATTCGAGTTGCTCGCGAGCCAGAAATCAAGCTACAGCTTGCAAGCCTTATCGACTCGAGCTCGAGCTTGGCTTTTCCTTAAAGTCAATTTTCTTGGCTCGTCGAGTTCGAGCTCGAACTCGAGCCTACCTGTTATTAAGTCGAGCTCGGCTCGATAAGTCCAAAACTCGACTCGGTTCGGTTCGTTTGCAGCCTTAAACAAAACCTTTTGTTTTCAGAAAGGAACTTTATGTATTCAACAAGTTATTTTCAAGTAAGTTATTATGTATAGAAAGTCTCTTAAATATTTTTAGGAAAAAAGCTTAATATTCATTCCTTTATAGACATCACATCAACCTCACTACTTCAAATAAAAATTATTAATTGACCACAGCCAATAGGAAATAGAATTTGAACGTGAAACTAAAATAAAATGAAAAGTAAATAATGTAGATTGGATTAAAAGTTTATATTTTTCTTATACTAAAATGTGAACATTAAAAAAATTCATTTAATTTAATAAGGGGAAAAAAGAATTTAACGTAATACTTCAAAGGATTATATATAACTGTATGCCTACATTTTTCTTTGTTAATTTACAACTAACTGTTTTAACATTTTGAGTTTTTCTTTTACTTCAAACATTGGAAATACCTAGATATGTGCTGTTTTCTTGGATGATTCAATTTATATCTTCGGTATCTTAATTAATTCAATGCATTTTAATTATAAATTTTTCACAATTTAGAGCGCATGGGCAAAGCGTGTGAGGCATTTACTTCTGTAAACGGTGCTCATAGATGCATTACTTATATGAGTATTTTTACATACTATCTCTTTAGATTCCATAAGTAGGAATTTAGACTAGTAAAATTTTCAAGATGAATACAACGGTCAATATAAAAAGAAAAATTTATAATCATCCTGATTTTGAGATTGTTTTAAACAATGTACTGAAATTTATTTTAGATCGACTTCCAAAATGGTGAATTTCTTTAAAAATGTTTGGTGTGAAATACATTTCTTAGGTGACTTATAGTACATGGTGTGTTGGATTCGAATCTGTTGGCCTAATCAGCAACATCCCTCAGATCCCGGCTCGAAGGGACTAACCGCCCAGCCCGTGGCACCCAGGGGTGCAGCCCCTCATGCTGACCGAGCGTGGTACGGTGCTTTGCGCTGCCATTGTGGTTAAGGAAATAAAGTTGCGCCTTCGCTAACAGCTATAGCTTTTGGTGCAATGGTAAGCGCTTGATCCTGACAAGTGGTATCAGAGCGAGGTCGCGGGTTCGAGTCTCCCTGGCTGTTGCTGGGGGAGGGATTGTTGGCCTAATCAGCAACATCCCTCAGATCCCGGCTCGAAGGGACTAACCGCCCAGCCCGTGGCACCCAGGGGTGCAGCCCCTCATGCTGACCGAGCGTGGTACGGTGCTTTGCGCTGCCATTGTGGTTAAGGAAATAAAGTTGCGCCTTCGCTAACAGCTATAGCTTTTGGTGCAATGGTAAGCGCTTGATCCTGACAGAATCCAGTGATTTTTTGTATAGCTTTCTAGCGAAACTTCACCGATCTTTAACTTGCTAGGTATGGTATGAACTCGATAGTAAAATCTCTCAAACAGCAAATATTAACTTAAACGTAATATTCCTGATTTGATCTAATCTAACACTTGTAAATAAGGTTTACATTCGAAGCCTTGATGATAGTAGCCAAAAGCAAGCACCTGGGCCTGGAGATGTTGTCTTGCCTAAGGTACGTTCCTGCATAGTCAAGATGCTAACAAAAACAAGTCCAGGGTAATTTCTCCAAAATATTAATGAAAAAAAAGGGGAAAGTATGGCTCTGATAATGAGCCTTTCTCTGCAAGTACGGCAGACCAACTTTTTTTTTTTTTTTAATGAAACCTATCTGTAATTTATTTTTTAAAACATAATCTGATACGGCCTAGTGCAATGCATTTACAGATTAAGAATAATTGCCAGGAATCAGTTAGATTGGTACTGAAATCAATATCCGAAACCTCATAGACCGTCCGACTTTCTATTGACCTTACATCAAAGATTGTTTGCTTTGCAATAGATGCAACAACTAAATGATACGAATGAATTTTTTTTTTTTTTAACAAAAAGTTACCTTCAGAGCGATTCATTGCAAAACCAAACACTAAAAATTTGAAAAAAATAAATAAATAAAAGGGTGCGTAGCATTTTAGCCTCAACCGCCCAAAGCATTTTGACTTTGGATACTTGTCAAGGGATATAGTATTTAAATACTGGTTAATCACAAAAATTTCCCATAAAGTTTTACCAGTTTTACACTGTACCTCCTAATATTGTTTTCTCTCGCTTTATTCCCTAAATCGTTAGTCAACTCTGACCATGTGTAACAGAAATGTCAAAAAGACATTTATGCCCTTAGGGGTTAACTCCAATAAATTCCCTTAAGGTATAGTGCATATTGCAATTTGCCATCTAATATAATCTTTCTCTTAATTTGTCTGTTTGTTCTTAAAACCACTCTACACAAATAATATTTAAATACATCAGTATCTCTAACATACGAGGAAAGTAGGTTAACCTACGAGGTTGGCTAATTCTGGATCATTCTGTGAACTGCCTGGGTTTGTTGGCAGGGAGTTTCGTTCATTTATAAGGGGAAACTCTGTCAAAATTTTCTAAAAATAAATAAAATATTTAAATTTCTCGAAAAAATAATAATAATGAAAATTATTATATATTTATGATATAGGTCTTGTTATAATTTATCTCCATCATTACAGGATTTTAGATTGAGGAAAATATCCTGCTCATTTTACATGATAAAGGGGAAAAAACAAAAATTATTGGTGAAAAAATAAACTAAAAAAATATTACTAAAGGTCTATAGGTTAGATTTGTTTGGATTGAAGACTATTTGAATATGTTTTCTAAAATAATACTATAATATTTTTTGTGATTTGACATTTGTGAAATAAAAAAGTGATTGAAAAAAAATGATTGAGAAACATGCTTATGATGTCACAAAAATATTATTTAGAAAAATTTAGCCATGCAAACAATTTCTAATAGCATCTAATCATGCTATATTTAAAAATGACCTTTAAAACTTTCAATCTCAAATCAACCGTGTTTCTCTATTTTTTCTTTATATGGGAGTGTGTGTATGTCTATGTGAGTGTGTGTGTGTATATATAGATGGGATGAGGGGTTAACCCCTTAAAACGAAGATGATTGCTATGGAATCTTCTCACAAATTCCGTAAAATCACAAACCGGCTCAATCAGAACGAGGAAAACAGAAAAAATTATTCTCACTGTAGCACCAAAATCACTGTAGCAGTCCAACAAGTTACTGTGTAAACATGATAGTAAAAAGACAAACTGTGCACTGTAGTAAATATCACTGTAGCGGGTACTGTTGCAACACGAAAAATTTGTTATAAACACCCCTCAATCCCAACACAATTCATACACCATTCTTCAAGACTACTTCTCACTCTAGGTTGAAGAATTCTCTCCTACTTTTCTCGACTAACTAGTTTGTAGTTTTAGTTTTAGAATTCAAACAAGGAAACAAGTCTTGAGCAAGTTTCAAACTTTGTAAGTTCTCTTACAAACTTCTTATTCTATCTTATTCTATCAAATGGTTAGCTAAGCAACCTCATATTCATATTCATTTACTTATTTTATTTATTTTGTTTATACTAACCATCTATGGTTAGTTCTATTGCCTAAACTAACAATCTAACTAGTGCCAGTCCGATTACAACCTACTTCTTAACTCTTATGCTTTTTACTTTCTCAATTTTATTTATTTTCGTAGTTTAAGGGGCTAACCCTTTTTTTTTTTGCTCAAAAATTTATTGATGTCATTTATAGATACTTCAACAGCTAAAATAAGTAACCATGGCTAATTAGGTTTTTTTTTTTTGTATAAATTATGACTTTATTGAACTAAAATAAGGGAATATCATACAATTCTCAAGTCATGCTTCTCCTACGAAAATTAGGGCAACCCAATCGCTCCATTTGGATCTCACCCCGGACCATAGTAGGCAATGCACGATGACTCCCAAAAATTGTCTCTTGCTCCATGTCTGCTCCTAGTTAGCTAAATAATCTACGGCTTGCTCGCCTCTCTATAGCAATGCGTGATTTCCCAGAAATACTGCTTATATCTGAGTAACTCATCCACCTCCCATTGCAATTTCCACGGGCATCCATGTTTCCCTTGCAGAATCTGCACCAAGACGAGTGAGTCAGCCTCGATATGCAGGTCATGCAATCCGCGAGCTACACATAATTGTACCCCAAACGCCATAGCCTTGAGCTCCGCATGTAAACTCGTCAAGGAGCCAAAGAAGCAGGAATATCCAAAGATGAGATGTCCTTCCAAATCCCGTACCACACCCCCACCCCTACTAATCCCTAGGTTCCCCCTAGCACATCCATCTGAATTCAACTTACACCCTACCGTAGGAGCCACCCATCGCACTGAAATATCGAAATCCTCCGTCTCATAGCCACCAAAGAAGAGTGGAACGCGTCCCAAGAGCCAGAAGAACATGGTATCTCCAGAAAATGGCAATGAAATAAGTCTCGCAGTTGGTGAAAAACCTGATGCACCACCTCAGTACCCACCATTCTTTTCCCTTCAAAGACTCCTCTATTCCTTGCTTTCCACAACTCCCTGCAGGCGAGCATAGGGAGCAGCCAATAAACAAATTTGAAGTATACATTTTGCCCCCGGCACAACCACCATCGTAGCACCCTGTGCCGCAAAGTGGACACCCCGCCCACTTCCCCTGGATCCTCGAAACTACTCCAAACTGCCTTTGCTACGTCCTCTATGCAAAAGGTGTCGTTAAGCCCCTCCTCGCCTGGCTCAGCGCAACAGTGACACCTAGATGGGCCCTGAACCCCAAATTTACGTAGTACATCCGTCAAGGGAAGCCGTGACCGTAATAGCCGTAACATGAAAAAAGAGATTTTGAGTGGACATCCCTTGAGCCAAACTTGGGAAGCCACCCAAGAGCTATTAGGCGCCTGCGCAACAAGGGAGTATGCCGAGACTACCGAAAACACCCCATCTTGTGTTAAAGCCCAAACCATCCTGTCAGACCCTCGAGGGGAAGAGGGGAACCTCCATGACTTGCCTCACCAACCCAGGCTCTAAAACCTGATTGAGTAGCCCCAAATTCCATCGTGCCTGAGTGACAAAATCTGAAACTATGTTTTCGTGAAAAATCTCCACTTGATGACATAAGGCTCCTGTACCCAACCAATTGTCATACCAGAAATCCATGGATCCCGTACCCAGAATCCATCTGATGTGTTTCTCCGCCAAATGCTGGACTGAACATAATCTCTGCTACATTGAAGACTGTGAGGGGACTCCTTCTGCCAGGCATGGATGTACCCCTTTACTATATTTTGCTATTAGAAATGCTGCCCACAGAGATTGTTTCTGCCTAAAGTTCCACCAGAGCTTAATGGAGAAAGTGTCGTACATCTTCGCAATGCTACGAACGCCGATCCCACCCTCCTCTTGCAGGCGGCACAGGTCACCCCAGCTAATCTAATGGAACTTAGGGCCAAGATCCGTCGAGCCCCACAAAAAATCCACCATCACCTTTTCCAACAAGGCAAAAACTCTCCTTGGCGGCGACGTTGCCGCCAACAAATGGATTCGCATCGAAGACAGCACCTCCTTAATAGTATTATTTTGCCCCCAGTTGAGAGAACCCGATGTCTCCATGATAAGATTCTAGTGGTTATAGCATTGCAGATCTCCACAAAATAACTCGTTCTGCGCCGTCCAATATATAGAGGGCAACCAAGGTATTTGCACGAGAATGTTTTGTATGAGAAACCCGTCACAACTCCAATCATTGCACGGCGTTGCGGGGGCAAAGTTGGGTGCACTAAAAAAGCAACTCTTCAGACAATTAACCTTCTGTTCCAACACATCACAGTATCCATCGACTACCCCTTTGACTAACTTGACAGAAGCCTTGAGGCCGCTCGTGAAAATCACTACGTTGTCTGCATATGCCAGATGACTCACCAGAGGGCAGCCACTCGGGACTTTGAATGGTCGGAAGCTACGATGCTCTGCCAATGCATTCAAAGACCGAGAAAGAACCTTTGCTTCAATCACAAACAAGGCCGGTGAGATTGGATCTCCTTGACGCACCCTCGCGTGGACTTAAAGAATCCGTGCAATAAGCCATTCACAAGGACGGAAAACCCGACATTAGAAATCAATTACCAAATCATATCAATCCAAACCTCGCTAAACCCAAATCGCTGCAGTACTTGTATCAAGAAAATCCAGGATACCCTGTTGTATGATTTTATCATGTCCAATTTGAGCATCACATTCCCACCGCGATTGGGCTTTTTAATGTCACTCAACAGCTCTTGAGCTAAAAGAAAGTTATCCGCTATCTGCCGTCCAGACACAAAACCACTTTGCTGCGGGAAGACAATACGAGGCAAAACCCTAGCCAAGCGGGAGGATAAAAATTTGGAGATGACCTTCTTGACAAAGTTGCACAAACTTATCGATCGGTACTGGATAAAATCCTGTGGACACTGTACCTTGGGGAGTAACATGATGGCAGTAGCAGTGACACTTCTTGGCAACATCGCTCTACAAAAGAAGCTCATGATCGCCCTGTGAACATCCTCAGCCACCACCTCCCATGCAGCCATAAAATACTTTCCTGTGAAGCCATTCGACCCCGCCGCACTATCTTCATCCATCGAAAAAATGACTTCCTTTACTTCGCTTATTGACGGGACCCCAGTCTGCACCATATTATCCTGATCAATGATTATCTTCGGGATGATCTCTAACATATCACTTGACGGCCTTCCCCCCTCCTCTGTGAACAAATCTTGAAAGAAAGAAACGGCCTTAGCACAAATATTTGCTTCGTCGTCCACCCATTCCCCATTGGTCTTCCGGATTCTATGAATAACCGACTTCCTCCTCCTCTCAGTCACGATAACGTGGAAAAATGCCGTATTCTTGTCCCCATCTGAGACCCATTTAACTCGAGCTTTCTGCCTCCAAAACTCTTTTTCAACCACCACAGCCCGTCTCAATTTTGCACGTTCCTCTTGTAGACTCAATAGCAACCCGTCCGATGGATGGTTATCATGAGCTATCTCAGCTTCCAGCACCTTTTGTTCTGCCGTACGGCTTGCAAAGAAGATGTCACCAAATGAGCTCCTAGACCACTGCCGAAGTGCGTGCTTCACTCTTCGCAACTTATCTGACAGAACTCTGAGAGGCGACCCAGTGGAGGGAGCAGCCCAACTCCCCTTGATCACATCTAGGAAACCTGGGTTTTTTGTCCAGAAATTCAAGAATCGAAAAGGCTTCGGCTTGCTATCCAATCTAGTGGCCTACGATAACAGGAGCGGGGCATGATCAGATGGATCTCTCCTCAAGTGTTGTACCAGAATAGTATTCTCCATTAACATAGCAGCCGAATTAATCAAGAGTCGGTCTAGTCGCTTCCATACTCTAGCCATACCCTGCCTATTGTTGCACTAGGTAAATTTGGACCACGAGAAGCCAGCATCCCCAACTTCTGTCAATGACATAAACTGTGCCAACTCAACTCCTTCGGAGTGACTAAAAGGTAAACCGCCTCGATTTTCCTCTGCATTCAAGTTAACATTGAAATCTCCCACCAGAAACCACGATTTTCCTTCCGACTTCTCGCGTAACAAATACCCATAAACCTCCCCTCTCCTGGGCAGTGCACTTTGCATGAACAAACGAAAAATATATCTCCTCAGCCAAGAGTTGGGAACCAATGCCTAGAGTGATATGCTGATCTGACTCCCCTAACGTGTGACAAATAAAAGATGATTTGTAAAACACCCAAATGCTACCCGGCTGATTTGCAACAACATAATCCATTCCGATTTTCACCCTAACCATGTCCATGTTTATAGGGGTTGTCTTAGGCTCACAAACAGAGTGTAATTTAACAAGTTTGTGTAGTCTTTTAAGATTAGGGGCCCGTGAGACACCCTGAATGTTCCAAAACAGAATTCTAATCATCAGACAAAACGGAGAAAGCATTCGTTGACGAAGTTACCCGAGAACGTAACGTACGATCAGATGAGACATAGACCCGAGTACCTCTCTTCCTCGCCTGGGGTACCGCAGTAGACCCATCCTGATGCACCGAGGACAGCATACCATGTTCCAGATTCAAAGCCGTAAAAGAGGAGCGATCATCCCCCAACCGCGGCCTCTGAGAGTCACGCCTCGGCGACAGATTGCCCACCCTCCCCTGCACCTCCCGTGGCTCGTCCACCCCTGCTACTGCCTCTGCGTTCGGACTTCCCGAAGGAGCACACACTGCACACTTTGCCGCTGATCCTTCTCGGGTTGCCGGTATCTCAATAACTAAGCATCCCTCCCCTGGCGAGGCATTTACTTCGGACGAAATGCATGCATTCGTAACCAACGCATTAGTCTTAGCATGATCGTGCGCCTGGGGTTCCTCCTGCCCACCCAAAACCCGCAAGTCGCCTTGGGGACGTTCATGAAGTTCAGCCGCAGATTGGCGCTGCGGAGACGCCATGCCCCCATGCAACACTGCTACCTCATCCTCTTGGCGTTGTGCCGTAACTCCTGGCGACTGGTCAGTAGCCAACTCATCCACCAAGTGCGTTGAGAGCTGCTTGTCCCTTGGCTCCATGACAGAAACCTTCTGCATGGCGGTGAAAAGCCCCTCTTTGGGCACCGTCTTCGTGCTCTCATGGGCTTTCGGCACTTTCTGTTTAGGCCTATACGCTTGCTTGGGAGGCTGCTCAGCCTCCTCCGCGGCGCCCTCCTGCTTCCCTAATCTTAACTCCGGGTTCAAGACGTGACAACCCTCCTCTGTGTGACCTTGCCTATAACAATGGGAGCAGTAATTAGGTAAGTCCTCTGGCACAATCTCTTGCCAAAAACCTTCATGCGCTCCATTGCCTATCTAAATCCTCGAATGTCTCGGCTTCAGTAGGTCCACCTTAACACAGACCCTTGCAACACTCGGTCTAGACACTGCCATAGTCACTGCATCCACCAGCAAAGGGACGCCTACCACCTCCGCTACCTGAAACAAAGCTTCTTTGTGGAACAAATGCAGGGGAAGCTTGGGCAGTTGAAACCACACCGGCACCACCGAAGGCTCTCGATCAACATGGAATGCCTGAGACCATTTAAAGAGCCTCATCGGGTATCCCAAGACATACCAGATCCCTCTGGCCCATACCCTGTGGAAGTCAGCGTCGTTCTGGAATTGCAGCAGAACATGCCTGGAATCAAACAGTCCGACCGTAGCAGCATCGCGCAAGTCGAGCTTGAAAAGAAATTTTCGTATGTCCTCTAGCTTAGGACGACCTCTAGAGAACTTGGCCACTAGCGCCAAGCGATAAGGTGCAGCAAGTTTGTCCAGAGCTTCTTGCGAGAAGATGACAGCGGGCTCTCCCTTGTGAGTAGAAGGCGTTGCCTGGATAGAAAGTGATGGGAGGGAAGATTGGTTGGAGAACAATTCAGCAAAAGACTTTCTGAGAAAGGTCGGAGAAGAAGGTGACGAAGAGGAATGCCCCCCAACAGGGGGCTGGAAGGCTGCCATGGCCACAAGCCCCTAGCCGCCACTGCAATCTAGTAGCCGTCACAAACCTTAGAAGCCGTCGCTGGTTTTTTGTTTTAGATTGTCTTGGTATCCCACTTAAAACAGCTGTAATGGTACCAGACTGAGCTATGTGGGAATCACCAATCAAATGACAGAAATGGACAATTCAACCTGATAACAATCAATCAATTGGAAAACTAAGATACGGATTTAACTCAGATAGTTGTAATTGATGTAGGGATTAAGAGATACAGAAAAGGCGGGAAAAGTTAAGAAGATGAATAAGATTGAAGGAATTGGGGAAAAGAAACAGAAAAGGGCTCAGCCCCAATCTCTGTTGAAATTACACAAAAATTGCCTGTCTATTACATTCACTCTATCCTATTTATAGATATCCAGCTGATAACCAACTTCGTAGCTTCCAATTGCCGTGACCAAGTGGCTGAGAGACCGTTGCAGCTGAATTTGAAAGTTTGTTATTCTTCATGTGCGTCTGTTGCAGAAACATTCTCCAGCTAAAGGCGTGGTCTTTAAACCACGCTTTCCTTTGCTTCTTCTACCTATTTCACGCCTTCCCTTACTCTGTCTTCACGCCTTTAGTTTGACTTCATGACAATAGCTTCCCCTGCAATTAAATCTTGACCTCAAGATTGGAATGCTGGAAATTTGCGTTCTATCTCTTCTGCATCTGCCCAAGTTGCTTCTGCAGGAGAGGTTCCCCACCACTGAACCAACCAATAGACTGCTGCTGCATTCTTTTTCTTAACAATCCTTCGATCTAGCACAGCTATTGGCTCTATCCTGAAGTGACCCTTCTCATTTGTGTCTGGTAATTGTAGTACTGGCACCACCTTCTGTCCTATCTTCCTCTTTAGCAGTGAAACATGGAAAACTGGGTGTATTTTTGATGAAGTTGGGAGCTGAAGTTTGTAGGCTACCTTTCCTATCTTTTGAATCACTTGATAAGGTCCAAAGTACCTGGTTGATAATTTGGTGTTGCTCCTCATCTCCACAGAGTTTTGCCTGTAAGGTTGCAGCCTAAGGTACACCCAATCCCCAACCTCAAATTCCCTTTCAGACCTTTTTCTATCAGCATAGACCTTCATTCTGTTTTTGGCCTCCTCCAGGTGCTGCTTAAGCAATCCTTCGATCCTCTCCCTTTCCTGTAAGTGATCTGCTACTGTGGCTACCTTAGAGTGTGAATACGCACCCAAAGTTAGTTGAGGTGGTTTCATTCCATATAATGCTTCAAAGGGGCTCATCTGTATGGCAGTGTGATAAGTGGTATTATACCACCATTCTGTCATTGATAGCCAGACATTCCACCTTTTGGGCTCCTGGTGTGTCATGCATCGTAGATACATTTCCAGAACTTGATTCACCCTCTCAGATTGACCATCTGTCTGAGGGTGATAAGCAGTACTTAGGCATAGTTCAGTCCCCATTAGTGAGAATAACTCTGTCGAGAATTGACTGGTAAATACCTTATCTCTGTCTGACAGCATGCTCAGTGGCATGCCATGTAGCCTACAGACCTGATCCAGGAAGACTCTGGCCACTGTTGGGGCATCAAAGGGATGAGTTAGACTGGTGAAGTGAGCATACTTAGTGAACCTATCCACTGTGACCAGGATTGTGTCTTTCCTTTCTGAAGTGGGCAACCCCTCAATAAAATCCATGGTGACATGACTCCAGGAGTACTGAGGTGTGGGTAATGGTTGCAGAAGACCAGGATAGGCAACATGTTCGTCCTTGCATCTCCTACAGGTGTCACACTGCAACACTGTATCCTTGACCTCCTTATACATCCCTGGCCAATGGAAGAACTGCTTGGCCCTTAGATAGCTAGCTTGTACACCAGAGTGGCCTCCTAGCTGTGAATCATGGATGGCAGTGATGATTTTCCTCCTGATTTGACCTCCATTTCCTACTACCACCCTTCCCTTGTATTTGAGTATCCCATTTTGACAGGAGTAGTCCTGTAGAGACCCTGGTGTGAGGATCAGACTCCTGATCATCTCCTGGACTTCTGCATCTCCTTGATAGCTTTCCTCCACCTCTTTGACCCACTCAGGAATGACACATGTCATTTCTGCAATCTCCCCCTCCTCCTTGCTGCTTCTCCTGGACAGTGCATCTGCAACAACATTCTCCCTGCCCTTTTTGTATTGAATGTCATAGTGTAATCCCAATAGCTTAGTAAGCCACTTCTGTTGGAGTGGAGTAGTGACCCTTTGATCAAGCAAATATTTGAGGCTCTGGTGATCTGTCCTGATGGTGAAGTGATGACCTTCCAGGTAATGTCTCCACTTGGTAACTGCAGTAACCAGTGCCAAAAGCTCCTTCTCATAAATGGATAGTCCTAAGTTCTTTGCTCCTAAGCTCTGACTCAAATAAGCAATAAGCCTCCTGTCTTGCATGAGCACTGCTCCAATCCCTCCATAGCATGCATCTGTTTCTATGATGAACCTCTTAGTGAAATCTGGCAAGGCTAGCACAGGTGTGCTGCACATTGCCATCTTAAGCCTCTGGAATGCCTCCTCAGCCTCCTCATTCCATTGGAATCCCCCTTTTTTCAACAGTGTTGTTAGAGGTTTGGCAATGGAACCATAACCCCTCACAAATTTCCTATAGTAGCCTGTCAGTCCTAGAAATCCCTTTAGTTGTTTCACACTTCCAGGACGTGGCCAGTTCATCATCCCTTCAATCTTCTTAGGGTCTGCCTGCACTCCTTCAGCAGTGATTATATGGCCCAAGTACTCCATTTGAGTCTGTGCAAAACAGCATTTGCTCTGCTTTGCAAACAGTTGGTGCTGTCTTAACAGATCCAAAACTTCTGTCACGTGTTGGAGATGAGTTTCCAGTGTGGGGCTATACACCAAGATGTCATCAAAGAACACTATCACAAATTTCCTCAGTTGCTCCTTGAAAACCTGGTTCATTAAGCTCTGAAAAGTAGCAGGGGCATTAGTTAGGCCAAATGGCATCACCTTGAATTCGTATAGTCCTTGATGAGTCCTGAATGCAGTCTTGTGTCTGTCCTCCAGCTTGACCCTGATTTGATGGTAACCTGCCCTTAGATCAATTTTAGTAAAGTACCTGGATCCATGTAATTCGTCAATCAGCTCATCAATCAGAGGCATTGGAAATTTATCCTTCACTGTGAGCTCATTGAGTTGCCTGTAGTCCACACAAAACCTCCAGCTTCCATCCTTCTTTTTGACTAACAGGACTGGAGAGGCAAAGGAGCTGTTGCTAGGCTGTATAATTCCCATTTGTAGCATTTCCCTGACCAGTTTTTCTATTTCTGACTTCT